GTGAGTGTCTACAAAGTTTGTTCAAATAAAAGACCTGGGGTCAAAATTGGCCCTGCCCCGGGGTCATTGATTTTCCTTATATGTGTATAGCAAAAACTTAAAATCTTCTTTGAAAAAACCCAAATAGCTAGAGTTTAGATATTAAGCATGAAACATATTCTAGTAAGTGTCTACAAAGTTTGTTCAAATAAAAACCCTGGGGTCATAACTGGCCCGGCCCCAGGCGTGTCATTGTTTTTAACTATATGTGTATAGTAAAAACTTTAAAAAAATCTTCTTTTAAATAGCCCAATGAGCTAGAGCTTAGATGTTTAGCATGAAACATTTTCTTATGGGTGTCTACCAAGTTTGTGCAAATAAAAGCCCTGGGGGTTGGGGCGGCCTATATACAGGTGAGCGACCTCAGGGCCATCATGGCCCTCTTGTTTTAATTTTCATACTGTATTTTTGTCTGGGCCATTTCTCCTAATGTATAAAAGCCATGGACTTGAGACTGCATAGGATGATAGATCTCATTAAGAAAAAGTGCAGTGCACAACAACTGGTACTCTGCATTTCTTATTTTTTGAGTTATTGCCCTTTGTTAATTTTCATACTTTATTTTTGTCCGGGCCATTTCTCCTAAAGTTTAAAAGCTATGGACTTTAAACTTCATAGGATGATAGATCTCATTAAGAAGAAGTGCAGTGCACAAGAACTGGTACTCTGCATTTCTTATATTTTGAGTTATAACCCTTTGTTGATTTTCATACTAATCTTTATTTTTATTCAGGTCATTTCTCCTGAAGTATAAAACCTATGGACATGAAACTTCATAGGCTGATAGATCTCATTAAGTACAAGAACCAGTACTCTGTATTTCTTATTTTTGAGTTATCACCCTTTGTTAATTTTCATACTTTATTTTGTCCAGGCCATTTCTCATAAATTATAAAAGCTATGGACTTGAAACTTCATAGGATGATAGATCTTAGTGATAAGAAATGCAGTGCAAAGAAACTGCTGCTCTGCACTTCTGCACCAGAAAAAAGTCTCCTTCCGTCCATCCGTCCTTCCATCCGACATTTTTGTCCAGAGCATATCTCAAAAAGTATTTGAGGTATCAGCTTGTCAAACTTACCAGTGCAAAAATCATAAATACTTTGACCTAACACTTGAAATGAACCTATGAAAATGGACAGAGGTCAGTTTGTTGTCATTTTTTGGAAAAGTGGTAAGATTATAAAGGTGTTCTTTCCTGCGCATCAGGTAAAGTTGATCCATCTTTCCAAAAATCCTTGTTAAAATGCCTATTTTTAACCAGTTAATACTCTTCAGTGCTGTTTTATAAAGCACCATGGGTTAGTTGCTGCGCCACATCAAGTAACCCTGAAACATAGAAATAGGGTTAGTTGATGCATCAACTAACCCCCTGTAGACTGAATACAGGGTTAGTTGATGCGCCACATCAACTAACCCCAGACACAGAAATTAGGGTTAGTTGATGCGCCGCATCAACTTACAACCCCCTTTAGACTATATACAGGGTTAGTTGATACAGGGTTAGCATCAACTAACCCCCCTTTACATGGACTAACACCCCATAGTTGATGCCAAGCATCAACTAACCCCACATTAGATAAACTAACTCCCCTAGGTTGATGTAACCCCCCCCCCCTTAGATGAACTTAATCTCAGGAAATTATTTTTTAGTGTATTCCAGGTTTAATAATTATTCCATCTTCAGATAATACTCTGTTTTGAAACTTCATAGGTGGATAGACCTCATAGAGGAGGAGTGCAGTGTACAAGAATGATAACTTGACCCTGCATAATTTTTGAGTTATTGCCCTTTGTTATTTTTCAAAATTAATTTTTAGCTCACCTGTCACAAAGTGACAGGGTGAGCTTTTGTGATCGCTTTTCGTCCGGCGTCCGTCCGGCGTCTGTCCGTCCGTCCGTAAAATTTTGCTTTAAATGACATCTCCTCATAAACAATTAAGCCAATTTCATCCAAACTTCACAGGAATGTTCCTTTGGTGGTCACCTTTAAAAATTGTTCAAAGAAATTAATTCCATGCAGAACTCTGGTTGCCATGGCAACCGAAAGAAAAAACTTAAAATATCTTCTTTTAAAAAACCGAAAAAGCTAGAGCTTAGATATTTGACAAGAAACATCTTCTAGTGAGTGTCTACCAAGTTTGTTCAAATAAAAGCCCTGGGGTCAAAATTGGCCCCGCCCCAGGGGGTCATTGATTTTCCCTATATGCATATAGTAAAAACTTAAAAAATCTTCTTTTAAAGAACCCAAAGAGCTAGAGCTAAGATATTAAGCATGAAACATGTTCTAATGGGTGTCTACCAAGTTTGTTCAAATAAAAGCCCTGGGGTCAAAATTGGCCCCGCCCCAGGGGGTCATTGATTTTTCCTATATGCATATAGTAAAAACTTAAAAAATCTTCTTTTATAGAACTCAAAGAGCTAGAGCTTAGATATTTAGCATGAAACATGTTCTAATGGGTGTCTACCAAGTTTGTTCAAATAAAAGCCCTGGGGTTAATATTGGCTGCCCCGGGGTCATTGATTTTCCTTATATGTGTATAGCAAAAACTTAAAAATCTTCTTTGAAAAAACCCAAATATCTAGAGTTTAGATATTAAGCATGAAACATCTCCTAGTAAGTGTCTTCAAAGTTTGTTCAAATAAAATCCCTGGGATCAAAATTGGCCATGCCCCAGGGGTGTTATTGTTTTTAACTATATGTGTATAGTAAAAACTTAAAAAATCTTCTTTTAAAAAACCCAATGAGCTAGAGCTTAGATGTTTAGCATGAAACATCTTCTTATGTATGTCTACCAAGTTTGTTCAAATAAAAGCCCTTGGGTAAAAATTGGCCCTGCCGGGGGGGGGGGAGGAGGAGAAAGGTGGTGGTGGGGGAGGGCAGAGGTCATTGTTTTTCATTATATGTGTGTAGTAAAAACTGAACATCAAGAAACACCTCCTAATGGGTGTCTTCCAAGTTTGTTCAAATCAAAGCCCTGGTGTTTAAAACTGGCCCTGCTCCAGGGGCCTATACACAGGTGAACGACCTCAGGGCCATCATGGCCCTCTTGTTGTCCAGAGCGTAACTCAAAAAGCCTTTGAGATATCAACATGAAACTTCATAGGTGCATAGATCTCACTCAGACGGTGTGCAGTGCACAAGAATGATAACTCTTCTTTTCATAATGTTTTAGTTATTGCCCCTTGTTATTTTTCATACTTAATTTTTCATCAGAGTGGAGCATAACTCAAAGAGTGTTTGAGATGTGAACATAAAATGTCATAGGTGGGTGGATCTTACTGAGGAGGAGTGCTGTGTGCAAGAATGATAACTCTTTCCTATATAATTTTTGAGTTATTACCCTTTGTTCTTTTTCATACTATTTTGTTGGGAGCTTATCTCAAAAAGTATTTGAGGTATCAACTTGAAACTTCATAGGTGGATGGATCAATCTCATTAAAGAGGAGTTCAGTGCATAATAAGGATAACTCTACCCTGCATAATTTTTGAGTTATTGCCCTTTGTTATTTTTCAAAATTATTTTTTGTCCAGAGCATAACTCAAAAAGAGTTTGAGATATCAACATAAAATTTCATAGGTGCATAGATCTCACTCAGGAGGTGTGCAGTGCACAAGAATGATAACTCTACCTTTCATAATCTTTTAGTTATTGCCCTTTGTTATTTTTCATACTTAATTTTTCACCAGAGTGGAGCATAACTCAGAAAGTGTTTGAGAGGTCAACATGAAATGTCATAGGTGGATAGATCTTGTTGAGGAGGAATGCTGTGCGCAAGAATGATAACTCTTCCCTATACAATTTTTGAGTTATTGCCCTTTGTTCTTTTTCATACTATTTTGTTGGGAGCTTATCTCAAAAAGTATTTGAGGTATCAACTTGAAACTTCATAGGTGGATGGATCTCATTGAGGAGGAGTGCAGTGCACAAGAATGATAACTCTATCCTGTATAATTTTTGAGTTACTGCCCTTTGTTATTTTTCAAAATTAATTTTTGTCCAGAGCATAACTCAAAAAGCCTTTGAACTTCATAGGTCCAAAAATCTCACTCAGGAGGTGTGCAGTGCACAAGAATGATAACTCTACCTTTCATAATTTTTTTTGAGTTATTGTCCATTGTTATTTATCATACTTAATTTTTCACCTGAGTGGAGCATAACTCAAAAGTGTATGAGATGTCAACATGAAATATCATAGGTGGATATATCTTATTGAGGAGGAATGCTGTGCGCAAGAATGATAACTCTTTCCTATATAATTTTTTAGTTATTGCCCTTTGTTCTTTTTCATACTATTTTGTTGGGAGCTTATCTCAAAAAGTATTTGAGGTATCAACTTGAAACCTCATAGGTGGATAGATTTTACTGAGGAGGGTGCAGCACACAAGAATGATAACCTACCCTGCATTATTTTTCAGTTATTGCCCTTTGTTATTTTCAGCCATCAGTATTCAAATAGGTTTCAAATGTGTTATCACTTCAGCCATCAGTTTTCATTACCAAAAGATCTTAAAATTGAATTATTCTGCTCTACTACATATACATTCTTCCAATGAGCAAACACTTTCGGCGGGGGATGGCCATGTTGACATGGCTCTTGTTAGATTATAAATTGTCTTGGACACAATAATCTTTAAACAAGATTCAATTGGACAAAATTTATAATGACCCACCTTGAATTGAAGGTTAAATTAATGAATTTTCTTGATTTTTGCTATAATTGGATAGAAAACCATACAGTAAACTGTGTTTAAATTCTGGGTACAGATGTCCTTTCAGGTGTAAAACTGACCTACGTTGTCAATTTTGCAGTTCTTTTTATTGCCCATTATGGTCATCCTTACTTTAATTGTAAAAAGACCTGATTATATAACAATTTTGACCTTGACAATTTAAAACCACATTCAATAAAAACAACAGAATTTAATAGTAAGAAAATTTTAATTATTCATTCTACAGGAAGAGATATGGGAACATGATCATCTAGGAAATGCACATGGAAAACTGAATAATATAGCAACACAACTGCTAGAACAGACTGATTGGAATGTTGAAGATTTCACAAAAAATGTCATCGAAAAGTTAGAAGTAAGATCTTATAATTATAGTTAAAATCTGAATGATTTAAATGTTTCATATGCATAACAATAACAATAATGGAATCTGAACTTTGAAAACCTGCTTTGCATTTCATTTTTTACTTAAAATTTAGAGGTTTCCTAGCTTTTCATAAAAAAAAAATTGCTGTTGATTTTATCAATATTTTAATGCTTTTAAAGCTTTTCAATTCCTAATTTATTTTACTCAAAAATGTTTATATCCCTCCAGAGAATATATGCAGGTTTTGGAGAAAGCTGCCTTCTTGATGTTGCAGAAGGTGTAGAAGATCCACCTTGCCATTCCTGTATGATAAATAAAAAAGGTAAGTGTTGATTGAAAATATATTTATTGATTACTTACTTGTCACACATTTTTGAAAAAAAAATGTTTCAAATGATAACACCATTGGGCCTGGAATGTAGTTTGAATCCTTAATATTTTTTTTCAAATGATTTCCCTTTTATTCACTTTTTTTTACACAGACTGTGTGAAGAATTACAAATCCAAATGGAAATTCTAAATTTAGAATCATTTGGTATGGACTTATTTCTTAGAACTATATTGAGAGCCTGTGGTCCTATGCTCATCTAGGATTTGAGAGGTCTGGGGTTTAAATCCAAGTCAAGACAATTGGTTTTATTTTTTGAAGTGTCCTTTTAGTGATTTTAACATTTTTATACCCCCAAAACATAGTTTGGGAGGTATATAGGAGTCATCCTTTGGTTGGTTGGTCGGTCGGTCAAGACGTCCGTTGCATTTTCCTTGTCCGGAGCATAACTTGAAGACTTATGGTTGGAATTCAATGGTCAAGCACATTGAGAGGAAGTGCAGTGCACAAGAACCATAACTCTATCTTCACTAATTACAGAGTTATTGCCCTTTGTTACTTTTTGTCCAGAGCAAGACTTGAAAACTACTGGTTGGAATTCAAAACAACTTCATACAATGGTCAATCATAATAAGAGGAAGTGCAGAACACAAGAACCATAACTCTATCTAAATTAATCACAGAGTTACTGCCCTTTGTTACTTTTCCATTGCCTATTTTTGTCCGGAGCATAACTGGAAAACTAATGGTTGGAATTCAATACAATTTAATACAATGATCAAGCACATTGAGAGGAAGTCCAGTGCACAAGAACCATAACTCCCATGTTGACTAATTACAGGTCATTTCCCTTTGTTACTTTTCCTTGTCTGGAGCATAACTTGAAAACTACTAGTTGGAATTCAATACAACTTCATACAATCATCAAGCACATTAAAAGGAAGTGCAGTTCTTAAGAACCATAACTCTTTCTAGAGTATTTATTGAGTTACTGTCCTTTGTTACTTTTCCATTGCTTTTTTCCTGTCAAGAGCATAACTTGAAAAGTACTTTTTGGAATTCAATACAATTTCATACAATGGTCAAGTATATAGAGAGGAAGTGCAGTGCACAGAAACCATAACTCTTTCTTGACTCATTTAAGAGTTTTTGCCCTCTGTTACTTTTTATGTCCAGTGCATAACTTGAAAATTAATGTTTGGAATTCAATGAAACTTCATAAAGTGGTCAAGGGCAGTGAGATGAAGTGCAGTGCAGAAGAAACATAACTCTATTTTGACTCATTACAGTTATTGCCCTTAGTTACTTTTTCCAATTTTCAACCAGTGTTGCACCTAACTCAAAAAGTATTTGCCCTAAAGTCATGAAACCTTACTGGAATGTTGATTACCATGTGTAGTTGTGCACCTTGGTATTTTCATGTGGATATATTTAGTATTTTTAGAGTTATTGCCCTTGAATTAGTAAAATATTTCCAATTTTCAACTTGTGTAACACGTGACTAAACAACATTTGACCTAGAATCATAGAATCATTTGCCCTTTACTTAATAAAAGATTTTTAGTTTTCAACTTGGGCACATGTAGCCAAAAAAGAAAGTATTTGACCTAGAGACATAAGATTGACAAATCGGTGGGGTTGGGGGGCACCTATGTCACATGGACACATTTCTAGTTTCTAAAATGTTACATTAATTTGATAAAATTTATTTTTATAATTCAAGTATATAAAATCATAAGACCTTAAAAGTTGAAATTTTGTACTGTAGCAAAGCAGACTTCCATGAATCAAAAGCACGATGACAACTGCACTCAGAAAATAGAAGTGTGCATGGCATGTGAGAAGAATAGTTTTCTCAACCCAATAACATGTTACTGTGGTAAAAAATTGACACCTACTATTGGTAAGTAAAAATATCTCATATTTACCCAGATCGGTCAGTATGTTGATTAGTTTATACAAATTTATTTAAGTTCGATTGTGTTGGAAGCTATAAGCTTATTGAAACACTCTCGCATCCGTTCCTTGAACCAACCTGTACTAAGCAAAGAATGTAAAGTTTTTTACTCAAGGAAACATTGGCTTGCCCCTGACATAGTTTGAACCCACGCGGTCAGCAATCCTTCTGGGCAAGTTACGTTACTAAAGCTTAAATTTTGTGCACCCAATATAGGGGTATGGGGCTTTTTCTCTTCATCCATCCGTCCGTTTTTATGTTATGTAATACATAGCTCAAAAAGTATTTGAACTAGAGTCATGAAACTTTACAGGAATGTTGATCAGCATGTGTAGTTGTGCACTTGGGTATTTGCGTGTGGATTTATTCAGTATTTGTAGAGTTATTGCCCTTGATTAAGTAAAAATATGCAATTGACGCACGTAGCTCAATAAATATTAGACCTAGGAGTGTTTTTTTTCTCAATTTTCAATACAACCTGTGGCTTTCTGAAGGGGCAAATATAGCGCGTGAACTCAGAAAAGGGAAAAATTAAATTGCAACAACTGAAATTTACACACACATTTTATAGAATTTTCAATTTCAGTTAAATTTAGCATGCATGGTACATAGCAGAGGCTATCCATAAGGACAGCTTTTTGTCGTCTAGCTGATATAAGTCTGCTGCTCTCGTGAAGAATTTGCACTGGGCATCTTAGGGGAAAATAGTAGCATTTTTAGAGGAAAATTTACCTTTTTTGGGCTAGGGGAAACAGCCTTTATTCAGCTGTAAAATAAGAGGAAAAAATCACTGCATGGGGTGATGACACTTTATAAGAATGTTGCTCAGCATGTGAAGTTATGCACCTGGAGCTTTGCAAGTGGATTTATTCTGTTTTGTCTGGGTTATGGCCCTTGACAAAGATTTGAAATTTTCAATTTGTGTCATGCGTAACTCAAAAAGTATTTTACCTAGAGTCATGAGACTAAATAGGAATGTTGTTCAACATGTGTAGTTTTGAATTTGGGGGTTTGAGTGTGGATTTATTCAGTATTTTTAGAGTTATTGCCCTTGATTTAGTAAAAATTTACAATTTTCATCTTGTGTGGCGTGTCACAGCTTAAAAATATTTGACTTAAAGTCATGATGACCAACATCACTGTAAAGCTGTGCATGCGAATTCTTTCAGTTTTGTTAGAGTTATTGCCCTTCACTTAGTATAAATCATAGACTTGTTCATGAATAGCTCCAAAAGTCTTTGACCAGTAGTCCTGAAAGTATACACGAGTGTTTTTCAGCATGTGTAGTTATGCATCGTGGGGTTTGCTTGTAGATTTATTCAGTATTTGTAGTTTTTGTCATTGACTAAGTAAAAGATTTTCGGTTTTCAACTTGTGTCATGTGTAGTCCCACAAAAATTGACCTAGAGTCAGTAGATGGGCAAAACTGAAGTGTGTGTGGGGGGCAACAACATGTCCTATGGACACATATCTAGTTCCTCTTTATTCCATATTATTCAATTGATTTTATTCATATTTGGTCAAATTTGATTTTTTCAAGTTCATCTGAAAGTGACATTGACCATCATGCTTATGTTTTGAATTTTGCTTAAATTGCTATGACTATGTTATTAATATACAACACTTATAAAAACACACATTGAATAATTGATTATTAAATATAACATTGACTTGTTAATGTCCATGACTTTCAAGGTTAAATGTGAAATTTGGATTTAATTTACATTTTATAATAGAAAATTATGTTTTACAGAGCACTTAACTACATTATTCTTCCTTGAATGCCCTGTTTAGGAACAAGAATAAGTCAAGTGTGACCCTTCTTTATACAATTATGAATTATCATGTACATAAACATAAATTTTGTCAAATAATTTCTTTCAATCTGTCTGCAAAAGACTTAAGTAACAATACAATTTGTGGCAAAATACTTCAACCGTATGTTTTTTTTACTTTCATGTGTTTAGGTCATAGATGGGCAGCATTACTAGTAGCAGGAAAAGATACGAAAGATGTAAATAGGGTTGAAATATCAAAGGCTCTGGCCAAAGATGTTAAGGAATTGGAGAAGCTGTTGACATCTCATGCACCTCGAGTATTTGGGATAAGGTTTGTAAATGATCTGCTTAATTATATTTGAAATAAAGACCTAAAACCTGCAATGTCTTTATTGCATAAACACAAGATTAGCAAACGCAATGGAAGTATTATGATGACAATACAATTAAGATACAGTTATGACGTCACAAACATATGTCATTATCAGATGACTAAGTTAAAATTGTCTATCAAATTGGCTTGTTATGGCCTGTCAAGTCTAGGATGGGTGCTCCAATGAGGCTTTGACCAAAACCTGTATAAATGAGCCAGAAAGCCACCAGGTGCACCAAGTAATTAACCGCTATGTTATACTCAATTTAGTAGCCAGTGTTTGTCCCTGTTGCTGACAACATTTACAAAAGCTAGAATCATTTGAGAGTCCAACTAGTCACTCGATTACAAATCCCCACCCTAATGAAAAGTATCCGGAGGGATGAGCTTTAATGCTCTCCAACCAAAGAACCTTCTGTTTGATCAAAGATCAGCAACCGAATAATCAGTCCTAAAAATCAGAACCCGTAAGATGACTTTAACTGATGCCCACTTACATGTACAAACTAGGTCTTACCAGAACTCAAAGGCAGGACCTAATGACCCCAACCAAGGCCAAAATTCTGGAAACAAAGTGATCCCTCGGAAGCATTAATCACAACAAAATAACATAAGAATTGCAGACTCGGTTTGATTGAGTCTGTACATGAGGGATAATGAATAAGTGCAACATCCCTCACGCCCCCTAGCACCGGCTTGAGCGGTACTCAATTCTCAACACTTTATAGTGTTGGTATCAATGATCCCGAAGGACCAGAAAATATAACAACACTGAAGTGAAGTACGGGGCAACTTTTTACGGCTGCCACACGGCACTTGACACCTGCTGTTGTGAAGTACGAAATTCTGGAAACAAAGTGATCCCTCGGAAGCATTAATCACAACAAAATAACACAAGAATTGCAGACTCGGTTTGATTGAGTCTGTACATGCGGGATAATGAACAACTGCAACATCCCTCACGCCCCTAGCACCGGCTTGAGCGGTACTCAATTCTCAACACTTTATAGTGTTGGTATCAATGATCCCGAAGGACCAGAAAATAAAACAACACTGAATTGAAGTACAGGGCAACTTTTTACGGCTGTCACACGGCACTTGACACCTGCTGTTGTGAAGTACAAAATTCTGGAAACAAAGTGATCCCTCGGAAGCATTAATCACAACAAAATAACATAAGAATTGCAGACTCGGTTTGATTGAGTCTGTACATGAGGGATAATGAATAAGTGCAACATCCCTCACGCCCCCTAGCACCGGCTTGAGCGGTACTCAATTCTCAACACTTTATAGTGTTGGTATCAATGATCCCGAAGGACCAGAAAATATAACAACACTGAAGTGAAGTACGGGGCAACTTTTTACGGCTGCCACACGGCACTTGACACCTGCTGTTGTGAAGTAAGAAATTCTGGAAACAAAGTGATCCCTCGGAAGCATTAATCACAACAAAATAACATAAGAATTGCAGACTCGGTTTGATTGAGTCTGTACATGAGGGATAATGAATAAGTGCAACATCCCTCACGCCCCCTAGCACCGCAAGTCTACTTTATCTTATTACGGGCATCAATATAACACAGTAGACCAACATTTTTCCAAAGGGACTAATCACAGTAACATGATATCTGAAAGATGTGAAAATTTTAAGGGCTGTAACGAACCAAATAACAGCCGACTATTACAAAATTTGGTTTCCCTAATCATTAAAGATGTGGTTTGGCAATGAAAATATAAATTACTTGAGAAGTTGTGAATGAAAACTATGCCTGTTTGCCGCAAGCTTGAGTGACTAAGAATGTTAGAATCACTTTAAATTCAGAAAATAGTCACAAATTACCTCAAACATATGAACTTTTTTAGATGATCAAGTGGAAGATTTTCCTTCAAAAAGAGGGAGATTTTAGAATTTGCAATAAACAAAGAAGGAAGTTCTGACAAAAAATAGGTAGATTTCTTTAATTTGTGAAAATACCTCTTATTTTAAGAAAAATCTTTGAAAATATGGCTGCAGAAAGTGGGAGTCTCCCGCTTAAAGTTGGAGAGTTCACATGTATGAATAACCTATCTCTAAATGATATAGTGAAACCCTATTGTATCTGCTATTCATTGTGTCGATCTAATTACAATTTTTTTGATTTCTTGCAAAATGCACCGCCTACTGCTTGTTTACATTTCCAACAGTGTCACTAAAATCTTTTGCATTCGTTTTTATGTCGTAAAAATGATCAAAAAACATGTTTCCAATGCCAAGACATTGTAGATAATAAATAAACTTATAAATAGTGTGTTCTTATTAAAAGTACATTTTACTGTCTGTTAAAAGTTCTTAAATTTATGCTGACATTTTAAAACAGACATATTTGTTTCTAATTGACGAAAAAATCTAACGTAAAGATTGTTCAGACTTCCCAAACGTCCTCAGACTAACTGAGCGATTATCACAATGCATCGATATAATGGCGTGACCTAATTCTTCAACCGGTTTGACATGTCTGTAAATATCTATATAAACCAAAGCTAAGAACTATATATCAGTGATGTTTGCCATGAAAATATTATGACAAAAGAATCAAAATAAATGATACAAAATAAAGATTCAGGGAGATCTAAATTTTTAACTGCAGTTTTGATTTATGGGTAAATAGATCGATATAACTGGGTTCCAAGCTACTATTGTATATACAAAATATTTAAATATATATATCACTGTAGACTTAATACACATTATTTGACAAAGTAAACTACGGGCATCGTGCATTAATCTGGTAACTAACTAAAGTACCATGTGATGAATAATTTGAGTATTGCAGCAGCCATAACTAGTTTGCTTTCTGACTGCGTTAATTAATGTTCCTAAATTCCTCTTCATCTATCTCAAGTAATCGCTATACTTTATTTGCTACTGTATCCAACAAAGTCTTTGTTACTAATGTATACATGTTACCTTTCAGTAAAAGCAACGTTCAGACAGTTGTACCCTCTGCTCCAGACAAATTAAATGATGGAGAAAAGTTATGGCCAAAGGTCAAAGCCAACATCAAAGAATTTAGTAAGAGAAAAGATATAGATACCATGCTTATATACATTTCCTGCCATGGAGCTAAATCAAATGGGTCTGGGGACACAAAAGATTTCCAGTTTCAACTCGGATCAAGTCCAGATGACAGTATCACTCTTAAAGAATTTGAAAAGGAGCTAGAGCTTTTGGAAAATATTGGAAAACTGATAATAGTATTAGATAGATGCTATCCTCCATTGGTAAGATTTAAGAAAAGGACAAGAGTATACATTCAGATGAACTCTTGCAAGCAGGACGAGAAGGCGCAGATGGATAGTAATGGAAGCTTCTTTACAAGAGTTCTTATCAGAGGTTTAAAAGCGAAGTCAGAGGGTGACATATGTCCAGATAATTGTCAGCCTTGTATTGACTACTGGAATAGGAGTAAAGATTTCATATCGGTTCACAATTTATACGACTACATCGAAGGTCATTTAAGTGGACAAACACCAGTCTATGAGCCTCATTTGAATGGTCAAAGCAGTAACATTGCATTCTACACAGGTGATAGAGTGGTAATACAATTTAGCCATAAAAACTCCGATAAAAACATATCGCTGAATTATCTTAAAGATATGAAAGAATTGAAAAAGAAATTGAAAGAAGAGTTTGATCGTAAGTTACAACTTTTATTTCTTAAAAGTTATATTTCATTTAATGAACTTTCAGAGTTATTAATATATTAGGAGAAGAAATATTTACTTCAGACCTTTCAAAATTGTATTTAAAAAAACGCAATTTATTACAACAAAACACACATAAAAGCTATGTAAAAAAAAGCACCTTAAGGCATATTAATTTTTTATTCATAAAGTTGTGATATATGCACAAAAATCAGTTATTAAATTATCAGAAAGCCTATTTGTTGACAGGAATAGTAAAGTGTCTACTGATATTGTAGATAACAAAAGAAATGTTTAAATTATTTCCAAGTATTTTAAGATCTAAACGATTTAGTAAGGTTAGTTACACATGAAAATAGATTTAAATGAATGATACATTTGTTATAGACTATATGTATAACGGCATACTGTTATATTTAAAGTTATTAGTACTGTTTATTTTATTGCTTCTCTATTTCAGAAGAAACTGGTGAAGTTTGTATACGAAGAAAAACATTTAGGAAAGATGAAGAACTGCTCCAAGATCAAGTTTGTGACACCATAGACGAAGTAATGGTGGCTTGGGTCCAAAGACAAAGACTAGATGTTACGTTTAACTCTTAATTGTATTGTTAATCTTGTTTATAATGTCAATTTTTAAAAATGAGGGCGACTATTGTTGCGTAGTAGGATATCAACTGTCGAATGGTCGGTCCATCCCACATTGTTTCCCATCAATAACTTAAAAAATAAATGACAAAGGTCAAGGTTACCTTGTATGCTTAAACTATTTCCGAGCAAAATTGAATGCAACTTCGGACATGCTAATAAGAGAATATTCAAGTTTTACAAACATGTTTTTGTTTGCAATGTTTCTTTGTTGGTGTATATGTAAAGAGATACTAGTACGTTAGACATATTTGGTTGAAATGAATCTTGAACTGCTCAATAAAACCACATGTGCTAGAATGAATGAAATAGATCCACAATCATCCATACCTCAGATGAATGTTTCGAGTAGAACCATTATTCAACTTCTAGTAAGAGTGAGCCCTCTAGGTAAATGAAACAAGAAAAAAATCATGTGAAAATTGCGGACTGTTAATAAGATAATCAAATTTGGAAATTCATTTCATACCGCCTTTAATATCACCAGCTTTAATTGTAATCAGTCAGTTTTGGCGTCCATAATTATAGAAGGAATGGAAAAACATAACACCGAGATGAAGAATTGACAATTAGGCAAGGTGGGATCCCTGAAGAATACTTAAAACAAATAAAATATTAATATTTCAAACTTGGTTTGAAAAAGCCGGTTGAAGCAGTCGTTTTGTTTGCTGTGTTTGAAAATTTGTATGTAGCATGCACATGTATATTTAGTATATTGTATCTATAGTTTTATAACATTTATTCATGTTTAAAGATTACATGTATAGTGAAAATAAATTAATGTAAATAATAAATTATATCAAAGGATTGCTGGCCATGTGGATTCAAATCATTTACACAAATATCTAAGTACTTGTTTGTTGGTTTAAGGAATGGATTCGAGAGTATTTCTTTAGGAATGAATTCAAAAGTTAATTTTAATAAGCTTATAGCTTCCAACACATTCAAATTTAAATACAATCTGAACTTAATAAGTTATAAGTTTATATAATTTATTTAAGGAAAATATAAAGCTCTTGAAACACTTTGGAATCCGTTTCTGGAACCAACCAGTATTATTACCCCTCACTTTTTTCGTAATGTTAATAGGCCTCTGGGTGTTATTCTTACTGTTAATGCAAGTGTACCACGTGACTACGAATTTTGTACTGTTACATAGGTAACAGTATTTTTAACAGTATAAAATCTGGTCACGTGGTTTATTTTCTAAATAAAATGAAATAAAATGACCGCCATTTTTTTCTCGATTCATTCTTATTTTCGACGATAGGGCATCGCCGAAGTAACTATTACTCTGATAGAATTTAGTTCTTTGCACCCTAGAGTCCCTTTCGCGTATTAAATATCTTTTTGTTGAATAGTCAACAGGAAACATCCGTTTTCAACGGAAGTAATTGTAATGTAAATAATTTTGTGTCAAACTGGAACATGCAGACAATTAAAGCATGCAACAAAGGATAATTTAACAATTATAACGAGTGAAACGTTACAGATAGAGTTGGTGGACAGACATCTGTAGGATATCATCGTTATTTTCTAAATGCACTTTGTCAAAAACCATGCGAAGAATATTCTGGATGCAGAAGGATCAGATTTCACAGATCATAACCTTATCAATGGGTAAGTGTTTTGTTTTCTGAATGAAACACAGCTTATTTTATGTTTATGACTGGTAGATATCATCACTTGCCTAAAGAATAAAAGAAAAACAGCTTCTCAAGTAGGCCTACAGTGCACTTAAAACTTGCAAGGTAAGGACAGTTTAGTTACTGCTTCTCTTGGCTTATATTTGTTACAGTTAGATATAGTTGACAAGTTTAGATCATGACAGTTTTTGTTCGGGGTAATAAAATAAATAACACATGGGTTTTTTGGGTAACAGTAAAAATATCATCCCTCGTATAAATACTGTTACCCTCAGCTAAGCCTCGGGTAACAGTATTATCCTCGGGATGATATTTTTACTGTTACCCACAAACCCATGTGTTATTTATATACTAATCGGTGTGTGTAAAGTTTCTTGCTTACAGAAACAAAGGCTTTCCCCTGAAGGGGTTTTGAACACACATAGCCAGCAATCCTTAGATTACTAGTCCCACACATTAACCAGACAGCCTTGCCGCTACTACAAACTAAAATGATGATCGACACGTGAAATTGTGCTTCTAGGGTTTTGTGAGTGGATTAATTTAATTAAGTAAGAATAATTGCCCTTGACTTGGTATGAATTTGCAATTTTCACTTTTTGTCGCAAAGTAGCTCAAACATAAAGTATTTGACTTGGAGTCATGACACTTTACAGCACTGTTGGTTAGGATGTTTAGTTGTGTATCTAGTATTTGCTTGTTTTTATTTTCTAGTAAGCATACTTTATGATATAAAATTGAGATTTTGCTGCTCAAAATGGGAGAAATCAAGACATCAACATATGAAATATTGGATGTCGTTTTTTATGTTTCAAACACTTAGCGGAAGGAGGAGTCTTCTTTTATCCGTCTGTCTGTATATCATACTGTCTTGCTATACATCAGTAGACTAAAAAAAGGAATGAGGGGACATCAGCGCCTATAGACACATTTCTGTGGGTTTTTTGGGGTTTTTTTTCCCCCGAAACGAAGTGGGGGGCATATAGGGGTCACTCGGTGGTTGGTCTATCGGTCCTTCTGTCCGTTGCATTTTCCTTGTCCGGAGCATAACTTGAAGACTAATGGTTGGAATTCAATACAACTTCATACAATGGTCAAGCACATTGAGAGAAAGTGCAGTGCACAAGAACCATAACTCCATCTTCACTAATTACAGAGTTATTGCCCTTTGTTACTTTTCCTTGTCCGGAGCATAACTTGAAAACTACAAATAACAGAGTTACTGCCCTTTGTTAATTTTCCTTGTCCGGAGCTTAACTTGAAAACTACTGGTTGGAATTCAAAACAACTTCACACAATGGTATAGCACAATAAGGGGAAGTGCAGTGCACAAGAACCATAACTCTGTCTAGCGTAATTACAGACTTATTGCCCTTTGTTCCTTTTCCATTGCTTTCTTTTGTCTGGGCCATAACTTGAAGACTAATGGTTGGAATACAATACAACTTCATACAATGATCAAGGACATTGAGAGGAAGTGCAGTGCACAAGAACCATAACGCTTTTTTGACTAATTAGAGTTATATCCATTTGTTACTTTTCCATGTCCGAATCATAACTTGAAAACTACTAGTTGAAATTCAATACAACTTCATACAATCATCAAGCACATTAAGAGGAAGTGCAGTGCACAAGAACAATAACACCATTATGACAAATTACAGAGTTATTGCCCTTTGATACTTTTCCATGTCCGGAGCATAACTTGTAAAGTACTGGTTGGAATTCATAACAACTTCATACAATGGTCAAACACAAGAGGAAGTGCAGTGCACAAGAAATATAACTCTGTCAAGAGTAATTATAGAGTTATTGCCCTTTGTTACTTTTCCATCGCTTTTTTCTTGTCAAGAGCATAACTTGAAAACTACTTGTTGGAATTCAATACTATTTCGTACAATGGTTAAGTATATTGAGAGAAAGTGCAGTGCACAGAAACTATTACTCTTTCTTGACTCATTTAAGAGTTTTTGCCCTTTGTTACTTTTCATTGTCCAGTGCATAAGTTGAAAATTAATGGTTGGAATTCAAAGAAACATACAATGGTCAAGGGCAGTGAGACGAGAAGTGCAGTGCACAAGAACCACAACTTTATTTGGACTAATTAAAGTTACTCCCCTTTGTACTTTTTTGGTCCAGTGCATAACTTGAAAACTAGTAATTGGAATTCAATACAACTTCATACAATGGTCAAACGTAATGAGAGGAAGTGCAGTGTACAATAACCATAACTCCATCTATTTGTTCCTTTTCCTTGTCAGGTGCATAACTTAAAAACTAATGTTTAGAATTCTATGAAACTTCATTCAATGGTCAAGCGCAATGAGAGGAAGTGCAGCGCTCAAGAAGTGTAACTCTTTTTGGACTTATTACAGAGTAATTCAATAAAAATTCATCAATGGTCAACCACATTGAAAGGAAATGCAACATACAAGAACTACAGCTATCTTTAATTGCCCACAACCATAACTCTATTTTAGTTGTTTTGCGAGGTATTCTGTTACTAGTAACTTCCTCATTTCCGAAGCAGTCTTGCGGGGGTATTAATCACATTTAGTGATAGTTCTATTTTTATTTTTGCTTTTTTAAGGAAACTTTAGGATATAAAATCAAAATTTGAAATTGTTGCAGCTCAATATTGGGGAAAAATCAAGATATAAATATTGGAAAAATCAAGATATAAATTTTGGAAAAACTGGATGTTGTTTTTATGCCCCAACAACTTGGGGGTAAGGGTAGTCATATATAATTTCCTTAGTCAATCTTTTATACTGTTGTGCTGTTTATCAGTAGACTGACAAAAAATGGAATGTTTGAGCATCTGCGTCCTATGGACACATTTCTAGTTTTGGTATAAATCATACCCCAGCTGACTTTATACTTAAGACATACAAGATGTCTTATTATTGATATAAATAGCCGAGCTTTATTTGGGTTATGCAAAAAAAAAGAATAAGTTATAGCCATAGATATTATACTAGGCATGTTGTGAGGGGGGGGGGGGGTTATGCATTTTTGTACACCCGTTTGCAAAACGGTTCCTATTATACCCCCCCCCCTGGTGGTTGGGCGGGCGGCGTCCAATTTTGTCTAGAGCAATTCCTATTTGCACGGAGGAATGTTATTGAAACTTCATATAAATATTCACCACTATGAGAAGCTAGTCGCGCTCATGAACCAGGTCTCTAGGTCAAAGGTCACACTAAGAGGTCATTGAATAATGCTTTTCCGAATCAATACTTCTACATCCATAGAGGGATTTCAATATAACTTGTCACAATTGTTCACCATTGTAAAGCGGAATGTCGGGTGCAAAATTTAGGTCAATGCGGCCAGGTCAAGGTTACACATAGGGATCAAAGTTCAGACAAAAATATAAATGTTTTTTCGGACCAGTTAGTCATCATTTATTGAGGGACTTAAACACAAATGGTCATTATCACGACTACTGGTGTGACACATGTAATTCAGGCTAATATATGCAAGGTCACTAAAGATGATAAAATATAGAGATTTTGCCCAGAGCATATTTCCTCCACGCATGGTGTGATTCTAGTGAAACTTCATACAAAAGTTCACCACTTTGAGAAACAGTGCCACGTGCATGAACCAGATATCTAGAATAAAGGTTAAGGCCACACTTATGGGTCACTGAAAAATACTTTTTCGGAGCCGAACTTCTACATTCATTGGGGGATTTTACACAAATGTTCACCATTGTGGGGATTATTGCCCACATAATCCAGGTTCCAACTTCCAAAGTCGAGGTCACATAGAGAGGTCAAAGTTTGTGTACAGGGACCATTTAGTCATCATTTATTGACAAATGATAAATATCATGACTAAAAGTGTGACACATGTAATTCAGGTTAATATTTGCAAATTCAAGGTCACTAGAGATGATTAAATAATAAAATAGAGATGATTAAATAATAAAATATCCAGATGTTGCCCAGAGCGTATCTCCTATATGCATATCTAAAATGCCCACATCTCTGTCAAAAGCTTTTGTGACAGGCGTATTTTGCCACAATGATGCCTTTGGTGCATATGGATTTGTTTTACGTTAAATGATAATAGTTTTAAATCGGGTTTAGGATATTTGCTTTCTTTGAACTTTGAATTCCGATATATGTTTGATCTTCCAGCTTGTGGAATTAACACCACAGTTTACCTAGAATATAGATAAACAGTAGTATATGTTATTCTTCTTACAAATGTAATAACGACGCGTCAAGTGTATGAATCAGGCCCCTAACTCAAAGGTCAAGGTCACAGATGTATTCCAAATTCATGATATAAATTCATTCATCAAAGTGTACTGATGTTTGTCACTTTTAGGTGGATTTTCGATAACTGGGGATAAGTGTGGTGTGCATAATGACTATGTGTCACATACCAGAATC